GATGGAAAACCTTTGGCCAGCACTCGCCGAAAAGTATGACGTTCAGCCAGTGGAAACTGTGGGGGCAGACATGACTGTCAAAATCGAGCCTGGTATTCCGGGGAGACTCGCCACTCGGCGAGGGTTCTTTCGAGCCGCAGTCACTCAGACGCAACAACTCTCGCATCCCGGTGTCCCGCAGAAGCATCATCTGACCCTTAGGCTGCCGGCGGAAGTTCGGTTCCAGACTGGTGATCGCCTCCAGATACTTCCCAAGAATGGCCAGGGGATGGTGAACCGTGCCCTGTCACGCTTTCAGCTTGATCATGATGCGGTTCTGACCATCAGCAGTGCCAGACCCCTCGGGCTGCCAGTCGACACGCCTGTCTCGGCAGGAGAGCTGCTGGGTACGTACGTTGAGCTTGGCCAGCCAGCCAGCCAGCGAAACATCAATGCTTTGGTTGATGCGACTGGGCCGAGTGATTTTGGGAGTCGAAGTGATGTGGTAGATAATGCCACAAAGGCTCTTCTCCTCGGCCTGGCAGAGGACCACTATGAAGCAGAAGTCCGAGCCAAGCATATATCAGTCTTGGACCTCCTCGAAAGATTTCCTTCAGTGAACCTACCTTTCGCCAGGTTCCTCTCTATGATGCCACAGATGCGCCCCAGAACCTACTCGATCTCATCTTCGCCAGTAAAAGACCCTCATCACACCGACCTCACGCTCAGCGTCGCAGATTGCGGTGTCGCAACCCACTTCCTGACAGGGGTCTCGGTCGGACAACTTCTTTATGCTTCGTTGTTCCCGGCACCCCGCGAGTTTCGATTACCGGCGTCTCCCTCAACAACGCCCATCATCATGATTGCGGCGGGAGCTGGTCTGGCGCCTTTCCGTGGGTTTGTGCAGGAACGAGCGCAGGCTGAGGGACTTCTGGCTCCGGCTCTGTTGTTCTATGGTTGCCGCGGCGCTAACTTGGATGACATGTATCGGGCCGAGTTCAATCAGTATGAGAGCCTCGGTGTTGTCAAAGTTCACCGCGCTTTCAGTCGTGATCCGGGTGCCAAATTCAAGTACGTTACGGACTGCATACAGGCGACTCGGGATGAATTGATGAAGAGATGGGACGAAGGTGCTGTGGTCTATGTATGCGGGGGAAAGAAGATGTCGGACGGCGTGTTTGATGTCTTGGGTCCGATGCTGTACGAAGCTGATAAGAAAAGCGGCAAGAGCACGGCGCAAGACACAGATAGATGGGAGCAGGAGTTGCCCAGGGAAAGATATGTCAGAGAGATCTTCAATTAGAGGGGCACTTGTCGGGCAGGTACTATAAGTGTTTTAACTAGACGAATAAATTGATCACAACTTGAGGTTCAAACTGTTTAAATCACATTATTTCGCCACAGGAGGGACTAGACAAAATATACACATGTTTGAACGGACGATTCAGCCTCATCACCAACTGACGAAAGCCATGAGTTCTGCGTGATGTTCTGACTAGATTATCACAGCACCATGTAACAGTTTTCCAACAATATCGGATACAAACACACCGTGGGATGTAAGCTACTCGGGTGGGCTTTCTCGGAATTTTGTCCCTCCCCCAACTTCAGACGATTGGATTACCACAATAATCCATTAGTCTGAGGTTACAGGGGCTTCAAAACACAAATATTCAAGATGAGTGCTGAAACTCCTTCCAGCACAGTAAGTTTATTTGTGAAAGCTTTACCTGCTGTCGCGGGCTACATGTGCTGAAAGAACCTGAAGATGTCATGTGTCTATGTCGCATCAAGCTGCGTCAGATGTGCGCGGAGAATACTGGGTTTTGGGAAATAAGACAGCGCGTTTGGATCTTAGTGGCATTGGCTATTTCGCAGGAAGTCCACTCGAGACCGTACCCAAGTGGAAGGGCATGAATCAGGACTAGAGGCTGTGACTGTATGGACCACGGCTGTAAAAGCGAGAACACAATCGAGTCGCACCATGGCCCATGACGGCCCTTCCTGGGGTGCTAGACATCCGGGACCCGTTGTCAAGGCTTCTGAGAAGATTACCGTCGCCGATAATACGCTTCGTAAATGAGAAGGGAGCCGTACTTCCAAAGCCTCTGCTCCTGTGATTTGTACACAGCTGTCCGTCTGCTGCCGTCCCGGGAGACGGCGTCCGGACCGCCGCTGACTGACGTGGCCGAATGCAACATTGGCTGTTTGTCTCACCAATGTTTGCTTACCATGCGTCTCATGGCCCGTACTTGGCTGGCGGAAACCATAAGCTTTTCCCTCGCCAAGATGTCTTACCTTCCAGGGCTTTGCAATCGCACTCGCTTCCTTAAGTGCTGCGCCTCCAGAATTACTCTGGAATTCATGGTGCGTCGCCAAGATCGCATTCGCAAAAATAAGACAGGCAGACAGGCAGACGCCAAGGGATCGACATACAGCCGATCCTTCGTAATCAGGGCTCATGTAAAAGCACTACTGCGGCGGCAGAGTAATAGCCCCAACCTTTGTCGTTTGGCATCGCTTTCGCTTAAGCATGGCCGATATAGCTTTCACGCAGGCGCCGTTGGGGTTGGGTATGCAGCCTCTCAAGGTGGATTCCATGTGAAAGCGCCTATTTCATTCGACCATGTAAGACGTTCATCATGGAATACATCAGCCGCAATAGAATTGTGTCTTTGGACCAGGGACTGCGGGGGCCTCCCGTCTTTGAATGTGACTGAGATCCAAGTTGATTATGAAAAGCTTCAGTGCTGAATTTCCAAGTTTCATCCCCCGAAAGACTTTTGAACCATCCCATCCTTTTGCGCTCGATTGCTATTCATTGTTATCAATTATTCGCAGCCATGGGCCACGCTGCACTTCTCAAGCAGGGGAAGAAGCTGGCAACGAAGGCAGCCACGCAGGCTGTAAAGGATGCAATGAGTGAAAACAAGACGAAGAAGAGAAAGCAGTCCAATTCAGCCATTGGCAACAAGAATGATCCCGTGGACGGCATCATCAGAGTCGCAGCTTCTATCGTCGGTCTTGTGTCAGAGGTTGTGCAGTATCGACGCGACAGGAAGGAATCAGAAGCAAACCAAATAGTAATTTCGGATGAGCAGCTTGAGGATGCATCGGTCATGACGCCAGAGCAAATCAACGAAAGCATTTGGAGGCGCGACGACGAAGACCATCAGACAAATCAGATACCGACTCAAGGACCGACTGAGAACAAGGCATCAAAAGAGCCGGCCGATCTTGCCCAGGCTTTCCTGAAAAGACATCCCTCTCCGTCAGAAGGGAGGGGTACTTCGACAAGGATAGAGCTGCCAGTTGTCGTACCTCAAAGGCGACCCAAGAAGCGTGCTCGTGGCTTCGTGCGAGCTTATACGCCCATCTTAGCCAATGCAGACATTGATGAGGGGTCATTCCTCGACTTTATCGACACTTTCAACAAGGCTCTGGAACCGAATCCGTACCTCTATGCCATGAATCTGGCCGGCCTCGCAGGTATGGCCACGCCTGAACCGTTCATGCTTGTGGTGGGCGTCGCCGTCGCGTTTGCTACGGACGCTACCATGGAGGCTCAGAGCCGCAGCAAGTCTGCCAAGTTCCTCGATCATATCAACAAGGACTTCTTCATGCCGCGCGGGCTGATTTGCCTAATCACAACGTGGAAGCCTGATGCAAGCGATGAACTGATGACGCCTGTCGGCTTTGACGGGAGAGTAATCGATGCTCCGTTGCCCAAGGCAGACGTCGACTTCCTCCAGACAATGAGGAATGTGAAGGAAAAGACGTCAACCGACGCTATCATGAAGAGTTTGCAAAGGCAGGTCAAGAGAAGGACACAACCTTCTAGTGGGGATTTCTACTCCCCTGAACCAGCGCCACTCGTCTTTCCAACCCCCGAACAGACAGCCGAAGCGATGAAGACACATTCGAATGGAAAAAGGAAGAATGCCCTAGATCGTGGCGAGGTATGGTTTGACGACTTCATGGACCGACGCGCGCAGGCCAAGTGGATTAAAAGGAACCCCACGTTTACGGTTGCCAGTTCTCTGCCAAGGCCCGAGTTTCGGTCGCGATACGCTGACCCGACTCACCCGGCTGCTAGCGGAGATATTGTCGCATTCGTCACCGGCGGTAACTGGTCTACGAAGGGCAAGACGTTTGGCAGAGGTCACTACAGTCAGCCAACTAATGACAAAGATGGACAGCCTGACGAGGCGGAGCCTGTCTCCGAGACTACCAAGCAGAAGAAAAAGGCAACAAAGGGTCCAAAAAGCGGCTGGATGAGTCTACTGCAAAAGGTGAGGAGCCCCATGGGCCTCTCGACAACTTAACTTACAAACTTTGCAGGACGTCTTGTACCTTGTCATCGTCAATCTTCCAACCGAGCAGGAGTTGAATCGAGCAATTCATGGATCAGTTTAGTGACCAAGACTCCCCATCATTCCAAGCCTCAAGGCATAGAGAGCTTTTGGTTTTCATTAGCACACAAATTTTGTTCAGATTAGATGTCCTACATGTAATCTGGTGGTTTCTTGGGGGTGGAAAATTTCGATTATCGCGCATCAAAAGAATGTTCATCGGGCAGTTGTGCACTCCCCCAGACATCCGGGGACACTGCTTATCTATTGATCTTCTGTTCACTAAGTTTGTGCAACTAACGAACGTTCTCGTGTAAATTTTTCGTGAGCCTCATCGTCCACCTGTGTGAGGGTCTTCCGAGCTTACTAGGACATAGAATGGGTGCAAAGAATGTTGACATCGCATTCAGGCTCGTATAATGGAGTAGAGACGAAGAGAAGCACAGTATAATAATCCACATGTCACTTAAGTATTAGTTTTCCATTCCGACAGCTGTCGAGATCCAGGCTCATCGCTGAAGTTGTGTTTGTACCCTCGTCTTTCAATTGCATCACGTCTTCTTCAGAAATCTAGTTTAAACGTCTAATGGGGCGTGTTTTATATATCTACAGTCTGTCTAAAAGTGATTGTGGCCATTTCCAGCTGATGAGCGTTATGTTCATGGACAACTATGATCCGAGGCTTTGCGCTTCACACAACCGTTTATAAAGCCCTCCATACCTCAACAGTTCACTGTGCGTGCCTTGCTCCAAGATGCGCCCGCCACTGAAAACATAAATCCGATCAGCATCTTTGATTGTACTCAATCGATGTGCAACTGCCACTGTTGCTCGATTGCCCACGTCTGAGTCGGCAAGTGCATTCTGCACAATCTTTTCAGACTCAGTGTCAAGCGCTGAGGTAGCCTCATCCAGGAGCAGAAGTCGAGGTTTCCGAATGAGTGCGCGAGCAATGGCGATGCGTTGTCTTTGGCCTCCAGACAGCTGCGATCCGTTTGTGCCGCATAGGGTGTTGACACCTTCGGGGAGGGAGCTGACAAAGTCCCAAGCGTTGGCTGCGCGAAGTGCCTTCTCGACAGCGTCGTTTTCAGACTCTGTAGTGGTTGATGGGTCCGACTTTAAGCCCATAAGTACATTTGCTCGGATGCTAGTCGGGTACAACGTCGGTTCCTGCTGCACCAGTGAGACACGAGATCGGTAAGCATCGGGGTTCATATCAATAAGTTGAGCCCCATCAACCCTGATGTTGCCGGATGTCGGATCATAAAAACGTTCCAGGAGCGAAATGATGGTGCTCTTGCCACAGCCAGAAGCCCCGACCAAAGCCACGAACTCTCCCGACCGAATGTTGAGATTGGCACCCTTCAAGACCTGGACGTCCGGACGTAGGGGATAGCTGAACTTGACGCTGTCCATGTCGATAGTCTCGACCGCCCGCTGTGGCACAATTGACCGGTTCTCCTGGGTCTCCTGCACTGTTGGTTGCAATGACTTCACCCACAGGTAGAAATGGGTGGCCCCCTTCCCTTTGGTGATGCCTGTTCCAGTGTCAGCGCCGGTTTTTGGTCAAAAGTCATTTCAATCTCCCGACTTACTACTGGTATAAGAGAACAAGGTGCTGGCAAGATTGCCAGCGAAAAATACGCCCATGAAACTGACAAAGAACTGATAGAATGAGATTTGCGAGTCTTTGACAAGCGTGCAACCCCACCAGAAACCGAGGGCCAGGATGAAGTACTCCACAGATTGTGTGAAGCTGAACCACAGCATCATGTGGAACAGAGGCAAAATGGATTGGCGAATAGCTTGATCTAGCCCCTCCGTGTAGCGATCAAGGACGCGACCCTCGATGGCGAGACTGGAAACTGTTCGAATTGCCAGAATCGACTCGGATGCGATTGCGGCGCTCTCCGAGAAGCGCTTCTGATTACTTTGGTCCATCCTCATCTCCAAACGAATGCGAGCGTATCCCCCCAGCGAAAGAGGAATAAGACCTGCAAAGACGCCGACAAGACCGAGCTTCCACGAGGTGACTATAGACAAAGTTGCACAAGCAATTATCGTTATCATTGTAATCACGATCAACACGACGTTGACGCTCATGAGCTCCAACATGGCTTGGGCGACGGTATCGATCCTTCCGGTGAGAGACCCAATCGTATTTTCTGGACGGTCAAAAAACACCATGTCTTGTTTGAGGAGACCGTTGAGGAGGTCCTTCCGATACTTCACGAGCATCTTTTGAGAGGCTGCGTTGGTAGCGTATCCGAGAGTGAAGTAGTTGACGAAGGTCCCTAGACCCAAGACGAAGAACATGAGGGAGTAGAAAGCGCCACGCTCGCCCAACCTATGAGGCTCGAGTCTGAAGACATCCATAACTCGAGCCATCAATATCGACTGGCCAGGTAACGCACCAGCTAGCGCAACCAATGTTAGTATGGGCTCCGGCATGTAAATCTGAGAGAAGCTCACCGCCAAGAATACACGTCACCCCAATGACCGCAAAGTACCATTTTAGTTCGGGGTTTTCTCTCATCAGAGACACAACACCACTGACCAAACCTCTTTCGCGGACTTGGTCAAAGTCGTATTGACTTGCCGACGCCAATGGCTGCCGCTGCTCAACGATACCAGCCTCGGACAACAGACCAGGCTCAAGAGCAGTCTCTTTGTCGATGATAGCCCCAGTCGACTCGATTTGCGACTGTCTCGACGATTCCTTCGCATGGACCGTGAGATCCTGGACTTGGACCAACCGCGCATAAGCTCCCCGCTTCTTCAGAAGCCACTGGTGAGTTCCTTGCTCGACAATGCGACCACTATTCATGACGACAATATTATCCGCCTTCCTAATTGTTGCCAGTTTGTGAGCAATGACAATAGTTGTGCGACCCTTTGAAACACTCTCTAAGGCCTTTTGGACAATCCCCTCAGCGTGAGGATCCAGTGCGCTGGTAGCCTCGTCGAGGAGGAGAATCTTGGGCTCAGAGATGATGCTTCTGGCTATAGCAATTCTTTGCTTCTGGCCGCCGGAAAGAAGACCCCCTCGCTCACCAATAATAGTACTGTAGCCCTCTGGAAGCTTCTCCGTGATGAAGTCGTGGGCGAAGGCTAGCCTGGCGGCATTTTCCTGCAGCAAACCAGAGTCAGTGATCGAATGTTTGGAATTTTGTGTGGCTTTGGATTCTTACAACTCGTTCTTGCTGTTCTGTCGCTGAAGCATACTCCCACCTAGTCCCCACTAGCCCGTTGGCGATGTTCTCGAACACGGTCCCATTGAAAAGAACCGGTTCTTGCTGAACAAGTCTGACATGGGTTCTTAGCCATGTCAGGTTAAAATCTTCAATGGGAATCCCGTCTAAGGTGATTGTTCCGGCGGAGGGCTCGTACCACCGCTCCAGAAGACCGACAATGGTGCTTTTACCTGACCCGCTAGCGCCCTGTCGTAGTGAATGTCAGAAGACCACGCATAAAATGTGCCATAGTGAACACCAGTGCCTGGACTTACCACAAGAGCAGTGACTCTTCCGGCGGGGATCTTGAGAGTGTAATTGTCCAGAACTGCCACCTCTGGGCGGGTAGGATAACTGAAGGTAATGTTTTGCATCTCGATCTCTCCGCTCACAAATACATCGGCCGGCCTTTCTCCGGACCACTGATCGAAGGGGTCCATTTGAGTATCTCTGTCTATGAGAGAGAATAATTGGGTAGCAGCCGTCCCAGCTCGTTGGAATGTAATCATGTAGGGCGCAATAATGGTGAAAGTCAGTGTTGCGACTATGACGGACATGATGACACTAGTTCGAGGTTAGACTCATAAATAGTTGAGTGTGATTTGAAGATGGCTCACATGAAGACTGTCCCGACGTCTGCCACCTCATTCCGCGAAATCATCTTGGTTCCTTGCCAAAAGGCAAGCCCAATTGCCGAGTACATGATGGAGTATTCCATGCTGAACAGGACTCCATACAACGGACTCTTCTTCGCGCCCATCTTTTGTGCCTTGTTGAGAAACGTCTCGTAGTGGGACATAAGCGTCTCTCGACTTCCAAAGGCCTGCACCGTACGAAGAGTCGATATCAGGCTCTCCGCAAACGAAGAAGCCTCAGAAAAGATGCTGAGCATGTCTGTTTCAATTTTGGCCTCCAGCGTAGCCACAATGCCGATCACGATCATGAGTGCCGGGGGTACGCAGAGCAAAATCAGCGTCAGTTTCCAGTACGATGTGAAGGCGATGATGAAGGCCGACACGAAGGTGCTCATGGCTTGAAAGCATATCATTAACTTCTCAGCAACGCCCGATTGTATGAGGTTTCCGTTAGTCGACGCCTGTGTTGAGATGGAGTTCGAATTCATGTCGAAGTATGAGATGTTCTGGCTGAGCGCCGCCCGCAAGAACTGACGGCGCAAATTGCGCACCATGTGGAAGGCCGAGTAGGTCGAAAGCGTCATATAAATGTAAGTGCAGACCAGACGTCCTGCACCAATGTAAATGAAGTAAAAACAATGCTTGGTGACATCTTCCATGAATTGTTCCTTTGTTGAGAGGCCGGAGATATAGTTCGTGATGACCGTAATCAATCGTCCAAGAACAAGGTTCACAAGGGCAAGTCCGGAACCTGAAATCGTTGCGGCGGCGACAGCAATGGCCTCAAGAATGATCTCCTTGGGCCCGAGGTAGGTGAAGATGCGCTGTGTGAGTCAGTACAGCATACTCTCGTGAGGGAGGAAGAACGCACGATGTAAGCCCTCGTCGCCGAAATTGGTTTCGGTTCTTCCATCTTCAATCGAACTCCCGAAGAAGTTGAGTTTTCCCGTATATGAGAAGAACCCATCGCGGCCTAGTCTGAGATTTTCGTGTGGTTTGCCGGCCTCAAGTGAGCGTTTTTGCAGCAAAGATGGAATAATATTGCTAAGGTAGGGTGGGATGCACCAGTTATGCTGCTCTAATATGCAGCGAAGCTTTCCGAAGGAAAGCTGTATGATGTACTCAAAGTCATGAGCAAATTATCATTAAGTGGTCTGCTGCTTCAGCTCAGGTAGATGTAGGTACCAGACCATGACAGCGTTGAAGAAATTGCGTCCATTTCGCCCTGCAAACCGCAATATTCCCAGCCAGCCTCCCACACGACTTCGCGCATTCGCATTCGGATTATGTCATAATCCAGCCGACAAACCTTGCGAAGAAGCCATGAAATTCAATCACTTGGATTGGCGCCAGAGATGATAAATGGGTTAAGCGAGTGCGAGCTTGCGAAAGCTGACCCGGATGACGGATTCCACTCACCGGCTCTTGGCATGCCTATCGGCACCAAGCCTTCGATCCGCCAAGTCCATGTCTCACGCAGTAACCAGTCAAAGGAATTTCGCCTGTCTTAGGTGCATTCCGTGGCTCAGGCCGGCACGGATTCATCTGGCGACGATGGTCATCGGCTTCCGGGATGACCAGGGGCAGTGCCTAATCGTCCGAGGAGACCACGGAGGGCGGGTTTCGATTGCAAAAGCTCTGATCAAACATTTCGTGCCGGGACTTCATAAATAGCTATTGTGCTAGGAGCAATTCTCAAGATGCTGAAATTGATGTCTTAGCTACCATGCGAATGTGTTAATCATGGGGTCTCTGAGCAACGAGCGCAAGTTTTCCATCCCGGAGAAGTACCGGGACTCTTTGAAAATTTCTGATTTCGTTGATACAAGATCCGAAGACGAGATCCTCAAGCAACTCAGCCAACATGTCCCTGTCACATCTGAGAAAAACATATGGGCCTTTTGGGACACCGGTCTGATGAACAGTATGATGCGACTTTCTTACCGTGTGGATAATCGCTAACACAAACACAGCACCCCTTTGGGCCCGGCGCAACGTGGTTGACTGGGTCCGGATCTGCGGGCCGAATTGGACTGTCCGTGTTCTGGACAACGTACCGGAGTCGCCGAACTACGTTCTCAAGTATCTTCCTGCCGACCTCTTTCCTAATGCTTTCGTCGATCGTACGATGAAAGGACCATGGGCTGGGCAGCATAGTGCAGACTTCATACGAGGTGCCGCTCTGTACACTTACGGCGGCGTATGCATGGACGTGGGCAGCATATTGATCCGTCACATTGACCGCATTTGCTGGGACGAACTCGCCAACCCCAACACACCTTGCCAGATTGCCCTTCCGCTCATTTACGACCAAGTGTGGGCGAATCACTTCATTGCCGCGCGGGAAGGAGATCCTTTCATCAAGCTCTGGCATGACCTGATCATCCACATTTGGACCGGGCGCAAGGAGTCTTCCGGCATGCTGAGCCATCCTCTGCTCGAGTTCGCCAAGGACGAGACTTTTGAAGTTGTAGACAATGCGAACCTTACCTGGGATTGGAAGGTCTCTCCTCAGACTGCCATGGAGTACATCTGGCAGGTTCTGGCATGGGTTCGGCTGTGCCTCACCAACGACGCAGGAGATGGCTTCTCCGGGACCGATTATTGGTGCGACAAAGTGCTCGTCTTCGATACCGTCTGCGAAGACTGGCCTGGTGAGATGATCCTCGGGTTCGCCGGGAGTGGCCAAAAGCTACTGGACATCTTGGCTATGCCCGTTGATGGCGAGCGACATTACTTGGAGTCTGAGCAGTACAAGTTGGCTGAGGAGGTGGTGTGGACTATCTTGACAAGTGCCAGCCTGCAGAAAGTTACACGCGCGAAAGGGTTGACTCACTCACCTCACCTCGGCACTCTGTGGGACTTGCCAGAGAATATTGGCAAAGACCAGGCGCCAGGCACTTTTGCCGACTTGCTCCGCTATGGAAGTGTTCATTTCCGGCAGACAAGAGAGACCATTGCAACTCTTGAACCCCCAAGACCTATTGACGATAACATGCTCAACAAGGGTCTTTTTGAGGTGTAGGACACCGACGTCGTTCATGGCTTTGGGGGGAACTTAGATATCGGTTTAGATTTATGGAGGAATGCATCAAGTTTGCCAACCCGGGATTTTGTTCATTAGGTTTCTTTAGAGTATTCAAACGTTTTGATTTCTATGAATCATCTCAGACTCATTAGTTAAGGACTTCGCTTCGGTCATTTCCCTGCAAGCGTCCTGCCAGATGGTTTGGCCAATGAGCATCCCACTGCGCCAGGCATAATATCCAATTTGGCACAGTTGTAGCTGCGGGCGAGTTCCGTCTAGGTAAATGCAAGAGGCAGGGTGAAGACCAATGAGTCGATAACAGTGGCGTCCGGGTGTATTGGCGCTGTGGAGCCATCATTATCCAAATGGAATCGTCGACAGCAACCGGTCTTTCTTATCTCCATCTTGCGTACTTTGAGTATTAGTCTTGTTTCGGGAATTTTCTGCAATGGCTGGTCAATCAATGATCGAAAAGAAATGCGTCATCAGTGCTTGTGGTGTTCTCAACACCCAATAAGGTACAATGTGCAATTCGGGGCGATGCTTTCGAACAAGGCCAGTAGATCATGCCCATGTTGGTTAACCGAAGGAGCCAGCTGAAAGAAGGTTTGGGCTGTAGGATTCCGTCCGTCTCTTGGCCTTTTCCAAGTGATGGAATAAGCCTGGATCAAAAATAGATAAGACCGGAGCACGGAGCCCATTCCGATTGAAACTTGCATCACCCATTGAGCAATCCACGCTGGGCTCTGTTCAATCTCCATTGGAAGCACCAGGCTCCGAGCTGATCGCTAAGAGAAAGGAAGCTTCATGTACATTTGTGGAACTCAATGTTGCAATGGGTATTGCGCGAAAACAACGAATACGTCAGATGATAAATATCATTCTATTCAGTCAATCAAAGAGTCCTAGTCAAAGCCAAACCGACACGCCCGCTCGGTCCTGAAAATTTACGCTTCTGGTAATCTGCAACTGGTCATAACTCTTCTTGGTGAAGCAACTCCGTCTCTTGTACCCGATCAGCATGGATATCGCCTGTAAGATTGTAATGATCCCACAGCCCTTTGTCCACGTTTGGCGAAAAGTCATCAAATACCATCAGATCATTGGTTCTGGAGAAGCCGGTAAAAGCGTTGGTACCATTCTCCCACATAGTCATCAGCGTATCCAGGTCTTCGTGCAGATGCAAAGCATCCTGTGTGTTGATGACTGTTTGTCCATCGAAAACTCTTGGTCTTGAATGCTCCAATTCCGTTTGACTCTGTATTTGTGTTGGCGAAGCCTCCATGGTGTGAAATACCACTTCCGGAGAAGAAGTTGCGTCTCGACTGTCGACAATATCATGGGCGAGACGTGTAAGAATTCTGACGAAGCTGCAAAATCGGACAACGTAAGAATTCTCTGTCGCGAACATGGAGACATTTTGGAGTGATGTTAAGAGAAAGTTTAGTAGTTCGAGGTCACCCACGGGGAATTGTGGATCTTCGAACTGGCTAGCAAAATGAAAGATGACGTTTGTGGGGAAGGATACAATCAGCCTACGAAACTTTAGTTCCTATTCCTAAATACCTTGGTATGAAGGAGCTCCTACCATGCAAAACTAGGGTAATGGTCGTGGTTTGACGTTGCGTTCCAAAGTTGTTGGAGAAGTTGGAGACTTGTGCGACAGTCGTCAAGAAGCAAGGCTCTTGCCTCTGGCTCTCTGACGAAAGGCCACATCAATCTCATCCGGGCAAAATGAAGAGGAATATCCAGCTCTAGCTTTGAGCAAAACGGAGAGCCTGTGCCGAATGAGTCGTCTTGCTCTTCAAGACGATAAGCGGCTCTCCACTCCTCTAGTCGTTCTCGGATGGCTCTCGCTTTTATTGCGATGTGGTCCTGCATGGCGGCGTTTCTGGAGTAAAATACTGTGTACAGGTCGTCTTCAATTTGCGCAAGAGAAAACTTCGCGTCCATAAGGGAGGGTGGCTCTTCCGACAATCTCATCGACTCAGTTGTAGTCACCACGTCGGTGGAGGCGCTGGGCAACGAACCAATGTTCCAGCAGACTGCCTTATCAAGACAGTACAGACACTGTAAAACATTTCTTCGTTCTTGAACTTCTTCAGAACTTAGGCTGGATGCTGTTAACGAGGACGCTTGTGGCTGGTACAAGCCCATGGACTTGGCTACGTGGGCTGCCAAAGTCAATGCAAGATTGAAAACATCCTCAGAAAGCCACATTTGGGCGACAAAACACTATGCTCAAAGGTCAGCGAAGTAGCTTTCAGTGGCCTCCCTTGTAATACCCACCAAAGACAGCAGAGCTTGGACGTTCACCAGGCGAGGGCTGAGAAGCTGCTCAACCTGGACCATGGCGCGATTGGCATTGCCGATGAAAGATTGGATAAGCTCGACATCAATTGATTCCATGATTGGTTCCAGGTTAGATGGTGAGGTGCTCTTCGCCTGCGAGTGCAACGCTTTGGCTGACAGCGTCAATAGTACCATGTTATTGGCACAGATGGCAAACGGCCGGTTGTATGCGGGGTTGGCCTCCGCACGGGAAGCGTCCATCAGGCGGCGGAATCCCTCCCGGGTGAAGATGGGCAAATGGGAGTTGATCGACTCAAAATAAGGCTCAATCAGGGCCTCGACGATCAGCATCGGAGGAGCCTTGATTGCTGAGGCGTCATGTGTGCTGGAATACAGTGGCTGGCCCGTGCTGTAGCCGAGTTCCTTGATCATCTCGCGGGCTGCCGCCGCATTGGTTCCGGCGCCTTCGGGTTCTGGTATTGTAAGTTCATCAATGTTGTGGATTAGTGACAATAGAGAAGACGGCCCAATACAGCGTTCATGTCCCTGGGCGTCGCGGACGATATGATACCCAAGAGAGGACATGTCAGACACTACCGAGCTGCTGCTGCTGCTGCTGATGGTCCTGCTGCCATGGTTGGATGTACCTCTTGGTGGGCTGCAGCCGGTACCTGTGAATGCAACAACGTCTTCGCTGGCTAATCCAAGGCGACTTGTCATGCTTGAGTCAAGCCGTTGAAGAGAGCGTTGTATGCCGGAAATGTTGCCTTCGATCAGTCGAAGACGTTCTCCCATATTGGAGATAGATTTGTTCCTGCATAGCGCGTCAATCATCTTAAATCAGGGCTACAACTTGAGTTCATGTCCATGCTCTCGGGGCAGTGATCCACCAATCTGACAGGGGCAGGTAAAAAGAATTGACTTACAGCATCACAGTCTGATTTGGTTTCTTGCCATGACCAGACCAATTGCAATCTAGATTCATGCGAGTGCAATTGGAGCAATTGGGTCGCTCTTTTCCACAGCGAATTTTCTTGATTCGACACTGGTCGCATGCTAAATCATGATTTACCCGTCAGTGGTTGGTCTTCGATTCCCGAATCCCCAGTGTGCCTAGGTCTAAGCACTGGGCTATAACGTTCAACTTACCTAGATGATCTCGGGTATCTGAAGTGTTGTCCTGCTTATTATTAGCCAATATGAAATGGCATGCGAATGCGAAGTAGAATGAATGCGCTCTGCCTCAGCCTTTGCGAATGCGACAAAGAAAGTTCAAGGAGCAACTCACTTCGACAGGGCCGGAGCCGGCCCTCGATCGTTTCTTCTGTGACATGGTGACGTAGCCGAGGTCGGTGCAGGCGGTAAACCAGCCAACGAATATCAAGGCCCAGTGCGTCTATCATTCACCGCTCGTCTTCTAATTGTATGTGAAATGCAACGCGGTGATGGCTAGCGGCTTGCGTGGACCTCTTGTGGAACCGCGCGGAACTTGGAACCCGCGTCTTATATCAAAGAAGCTCTGGAAGTTGTATGGCATCTCGTAGGCACAGCGGCTCGACCTGCTGCCGACGAGGTGGCACATTTGAGAGAGCTTTAGCCACTCAGATAGCTCCTGGCTGCCGCGTGTGGAGTCCGCTCACACCAAATCACACTACAGTAGGTCCTTTCGGTGTCCAAAGGGATTAACACTTACTGAATCCTTCGAGGCAGAAGCATCAGAGACGGAGCTCTAGGAAGAGACAGGATCTTTGGCTGTATTGGGGGCATACAGTGGTGTCTTGGCAGCCTTCTTGGCGGCTTTCTAACAGTGCGAACTCCAACGGGCACGCCGTCGCCGTCCACATTCGTGGGTAGCATTGCAGATATCCTTCTGTGGGCCACACCAACATTCCCTTTACTTTTGTGTTGCTCTTTAGTACTCGATCCCCCCTAAGAAGACGTCCAGCTAGCGTCTCGGCTGTGGCGCGGCATGCGTCTAATCATCCAACTGTTGAGACGACAGATGCCTATTTGATCGACCAACTGCCGCTCTGGAGGGCATCATTCCCAATTTGGAGGGGTAAGCGAGAAAGGAGCCGTTCGGACGAACGAGCCACCAGTCGGCGTCGTTGCTGATCTGCCTGATCTGTCGGCCGCCAAACAATTAGGATCTTTTGTAGAAAAGCCACTGGCGGGACGCCCCGCCCTTTTCTCCGCGCTGCTCCAACAGGGTCATGTTTTTCGCGATGAGATGGGACCAACTTCCAACACGTCACCGCTGAGTGATGCATATGTATGTGAGTCGACAGAGTAAGATGTAATGTAATGATGGCTATGTGCCCAGCCAATTCTCGCCCTACCTGTCCCACTGCGCTAAGCCCTGTCGCTAGCAACTATTGAGTGAGTACCAAAATAGCTACAGTTGCCCCTTGCTGAGTGAATATGATCATTGCCCAATTTGTCTGAGATTTGCATGAGGCTGTCTCCTTTGGTTTCTAGTCACAAATAACCCCCACGGATTTTCCAAAATAACGGCGTTAAGACAAGTGTCTTTTAGGATAAGGCTTAATCATCTGAAGCTGCAGCAGTCAGATCAAGTGCGCGCCAAGCATGCCCAGCCCCCTCGATGTAAATTACACAGCTGGAGATTGTATTACATCTCATGCTTGGACGAATTGAAATCTCCGTTGCTACTTGCTTTCAAGACGAAAATGAACCCGAAATATGATGTATTTCGTCCGTCCGTCGCAGACCGGCTAAACTCCTCTCGCATCATACGAGAGTTTGGTTCATGATGGCACAATGAGGCGTATGAAACCTGGCTCGCGCAATCCTTCAGTCTCGGCACAAGAAAAAGGCGCAAATAGGTACCTTTGAGAGTGTGACGAGCTGACTGACTAATTATGAGCGTCATGATCCTTTAGCCTGGGCGCATCTCACGGTCATGCCGCCAAGAAAACTATCCCACGTTGGCGCTTGCACAGCATGTTTATCAGCGGCCACGTAACTGGCCCGCGGAACCCGCAGTTTCTGAAGAAACACCTTGCAATTCCAAGCACTTTCTAGTATTCTCCTTTCAACGACCTTCCATATCTGTTGCCTAATTCTCGGAGACTTTACCTGTTGATGGTGACGGGATCCGCTGCTCACAGCCCTTTTCCCGTTCACGTTGTTTCGGCACTGCCGCCTGATGGTTTGGGGGCTTTTGGGTTAATACACTTCGGATTCCGTTTCCGTTTCCCCCCTCGGTCCGATTGTTGGAGTTTGCGCTCGTCTCTAGAGAAATTGCGCACTGCCTGTTCGACCTCTCTCGTTGTCTGTCCTGGCTGAAGAGGAGACGCCTGCGCCAAGATGCTGCTTACTTCGGGTCTGAGATATGAGGCGCATTCCGGGCAGGATTCCGCCGTCTCACGCCGGGGAATGGCAAGATAGACCGGTCACCGAAAGGGTTCCGGGTTCATCACGGCAGACTGGAGATCTAATCCGGATAGACGATGTTGAAGCAATCGCGGAGAAAGTCGAATTGTATCGAGCATTCGGTTCATGATATTTCACATACGCTCCTAGAAGTTATAAGACGTTTGGAGTGCGTCGTATGGCCCAGAAGACTTATCCTTAGACACAAAGCATCTGCCTCTACATTCGCTCTCACACGCTCCACATCACCCTTTCAGCGACAGGTTAAAGTCCCCAACGTACTCAAAGTCTTTCGCAATGGCTCCTATGGCAATCGATGGAACCTACACGGTTGGGTCCGAAAGGACCACTGCAGCTAGTCATGACAACCACGCCCATGGTGTTGATGGCACTGATCATGCAGACGGCCATGGTACAGCCGCCACAGCTGAGCCCTCGAACGGCCATGCACCCCATTTCCGGTCCTCTCCCAGCAGTGCAGTTGATGAGACCAATAACATCAACCGCCCTATGAACTCTCCCGCCAGCCGCGATGATCAGCCGATTGCCATCTGCGGTATGGCGTGTCGCCTGCCTGGTGGCCTGCACACGCCTCAGCAGTTGTGGGACTTTCTCCTCGCCAAAGGGGATGCGCGAACTCGTGTTCCAGAGTCCCGTTACAACGTCGATGCATTCTATGATCCCTCGGGCAGACCTGGTACGGTCAAAACTGAGTATGGTTACTTCCTCGACTACGACATTAGCAAGAGTGATGGTGCCTTCTCCAGCTTCGTTCGAGGAGCGACTGAGAGAGAGGACCCTCACCAACGCCAGATGAGTGAAGTAGCCAGAGAGTGTATCGAAGATGCTGGCGAGGCCAATTATCGCGGCAAACTCATCGGATGCTATGTCGGCAGCTTTGGGGAGGATTGGTGTGAAATGTTCGCCAAAGACACTCAGCAACACGGTCTTTACAGAGTTGCCGGCTACGGTGACTTCATGCTTTCCAACAATGTCGCCTATGAGATGGACCTCAAAGGCCCAAGGTGCGTTCATTCTGACAGGTTGCACACTTCACGGCGGTTTACTGATGTTCTTCTAGCATGACCCTTCGAACCGGATGTTCTGCTGCTCTCGTTGGCCTTCATGAGGCGGTGACTGCCATACAGAGAGGCGATTGCATCTCTGCCATCGTTGGCGGTGTCAACCTCATTTTGGCGCCTGGTATGACGCAGGCAATGACGGAGCAGGGGGTCCTCTCTGCAGATGGCTCGTGTAAGACTTTCTCATCGGAGGCAAATGGCTACGCCCGTGGCGAGGCGGTCTGCGCCGTCTATCTGAAGCCCCTGGACGCCGCGCTCAGAGATGGAAACCCTGTACGTGCGGTCATCAGGGGAACTGCCACGAATGTAAGCTTCAATACTGTCATGCGATCATTCCGAGAACTAACCTGTCTCCAGTTTGATGGTCGAACCAATGGTATCTCGCTTCCCAGCACTGAGGCTCACGAGGCTCTGTAAGTAACTCTTTGGGTTCAATGCGCGTATCACTTTGTTCTAAGGCTGACCAATATCTGTACAGGATGAGACAAGCTTACGCCCGAGCTGGTATCACTGACCTTTCGGACACTACATTCGTCGAGTGCCACGGCACCGGTACTCCTATTGGTGACCCCATCGAAGCGGGCGCTGTGGCTCGGGTTTTTGGCGGTTCACAGAATGGCGTCTATATCGGCTCTGTCAAGCCTAATCTTGGTCATTCCGAGGGAGCTTCTGGTCTGACTTCGCTCATCAAGACGGTAATGGCTCTCGAGAACCGAACGATTCCTCCGAATATCAAGTTCACCCCGCTCAACCCTAATATCCCGTTCGAGGAACGCAACATCAAGATTGCTGCTGAGCCTCTTGCGTGGCCTGAAGATGGCTACGAGCGAGCTAGTGTCAACTCTTTCGGAATCGGTGGAACCAACGCTCATGCCATCCTCGAATCAGCAAGGTCGCAGGGAATCGCTGCCACCAAGCCATCGGTTGACACCAGTGAGCCCCAGCTGCTTCTATTCTCCGCCAACTCCTCAGAATCCCTGAAGAAGATGACGGAAACGTATCAGTCCTTCGTCCAAAACAACGCGGAGAAGCTCGACCAGATCGCATACACGCTGGCGAACGGAAGAGAACACCACTCATACCGAAGCTTCGCAATTGCTAGCAAAGGCGGCAGCATTGCTCCTTCTGTTTCATCTAGAGCACCACAACAGGCTCCCAAGATTGTGATGGTCTTCACTGGTCAGGGAGCTCAGTGGCCCGCGATGGGTAGTGAGCTCCTTCAGCAAGACAACTCCGTTTTCCGCTCGACTATCCGCAGGCTCGATGGTTACCTACAAGACGCTCTCGATTGTTCAGAATTCTCTATTGAGAAAGAGCTCCTCAAGAGGGGCAAGAGGAGTCGCCTTGACCTTGCCGAGGTCTCTCAGCCCCTCTGCACCGCGGTCCAGCTTGGCCTGGTCGACAGTCTCGCTTCGGTCGGCGTAAAGCCTGCCGCAGTTGTTGGCCACTCAAGTGGTGAGATAGCTGCGGCCTATGCTGCAGGTGCTCTGACGGCTCGAGATGCTATCATCGTGGCTTTCTATCGCGGCTTCGTAGCGAAGCTTCAAAAGAAAGCGGGAGCTATGGCAGCGATTGGTCTCGGTTGGGACGACGTCAAGCCTTACCTTGAGAATACCACAGCTACTGTTGCATGTGAGAACTCTCCCAGCAGTGTCACCATCTCGGGCGACACCGATGCTGTTGAGGCAGTTGTCAAGAAGATCAAGGAGTCCCCACCGAACGGACAAGAAGTTCTTGCCCGGCTGCTGAAGGTTGACAAGGCCTACCACTCCCACCACATGGCCGAGGTCGGCGAGCAGTACATGGCGCTCTTGAAAGGTGTTCAAAGCCAAAGCTCCAACAGAGATTGTCTTTT